TAATAGCAACTGTCATCACCCCACACAACAGACAGTCGACACTCTCATGCCTGGCTGGACGCAGTCAGGACCAGCCCTGGCTTTGCAAGTGGCCACTGCCACCTCAGACTACAACTGGGAGTTCTGTATACAATAAAACCCCTCATTCTGGTGAAACTTGCCTCTTACCTTCAACATGGGATTCGACCTGATTATTGTAGTGTTCCGAGTACACCCCATTGCTAAGACCCCAACAAAGGTGAGGCAAGCGAGCGGGAGTGTGGTCGATGCTGTGCATTTCTTCGATCACAATTCACCTGTTAACACACAAATCACCGCCTCTGTGCCCACCTCGCACGGTGGATATCATCAACAACGACGGCCGACCTTTCAATTGCCCTCGTAATACCGAACAACATTCGTATATCTGTTTATGCTATAAACTGATGATTTCAATGTTCCGCTCTTTTTTGCAATACCCAAGAAACGGTAATTTATTGTCATATGGACCTTGAATATACTGATCTCCTGTGGGTTCAAAAATTGATTTCTAAGGAAATTTAAAAAAGTTGAAATTTCAAAACTGGGTTATTTACCAGAGAGCACAAAAATAAGGCTACGGAACCCACCGATGCGCCTGACCCTTCGCATCTGTGTAAAGCAGCGCCATAATACCAGCGAGACACATGTGTTTGACATTTAGTTAGTACTTGTGCCGCCAGTATGGTAAATAGTCGCACCGTCCATTTATATTTCGAAAATAAATGTAAGTCCTGGAAGTGTTTAATTAATAACGCTGTGGAGCATTTCCTTTTGATTCATTTTAATGACAATAAATGTATCATCACTTCATAACATGCCGTTTGTGGCTAGTTAATGAGAGGGCCTTAGGTGCGTCTTGCTGATAGAACCAAACAGATAACTTGTGGGAAGCAGGCCAGAAGAAGCTGTGGTCGCTGGAATACGATATACATTGGCCTGACATTTCGGATTCTCGCTCAAACTCCTTTTCAGAGACAATATATGTACTAGAGGCACAAACAGTGAATTATTTATAGAACGTAACTGAATGTTCGGCCAGTCATGCTGCAGAGGCTTTCTGGGCTTTTGAGTTAAACGGACTAGGTAGCGACATCTAGCTGGGGATTCCTTTAATTCAAGATAATTATGCGTCTAATGTCCCAATAAAGCAATTTTTGGCTTTTTGGGAGACGTTTTTGGCGAAGTCACGCCTTCGTTGTGCTTGCACCAAGACCATGAAATGCAGATATTGACCTTTCAAGGTATTTATGTGGGAAACTGATCGCATGACTAGACTAATATCGACTGAATTGTGTATACTGACCTACAACTTACTGTTTTGAAATTATTTTATTAAGCAAACATAACTTCTTATTCGTTTTTGTGCTATGCAGCGACATCAGTCACCAGATGGGCCGTCGGGAACTATATTGGCACCATAAAACTCAAATGTTTATGTCTGTTATAACTTCATACCGTTGACAAAATGCTTCGGACCACAGATTTTAAATAGCCGCCGATAAATTTTAACTACAATTGTAAGTTTCCAAGGTTCCTGACGACATAAGTAACTAATTATGGAGTGCGAGATGTCCGTTCATCAGTCTGGTCATAATCTACTGCACACTAAGACGGTTGCACAGAACCCATTACTGATTGAGAATAAAGACTAATAAAGACAAGGGCTACTGTTCTTATATCAGGTGCTCATACCTCTTTAGCTGAGGGTTCGTTTCTTGACATTTACCATATCCCTTCCGCTCTCTTTCAACACTTAGATCATATCGGCTGAGTTCGGACAAATCTCAGAGGATGTCGTCCGCTTCCGGAACTCCAATGATCGGGATGGCCGAATGCCGAACCTGGCGTCTGAAGAATCCCCCGACAGCGTTACCCTGAAATCTCGTCTGGCTGTGAGGATCCACCTACTGCTGGAACCGGGCGATGCGCACTTTGAAGCCCTGCTTCACACCACACCGGAGACCACAGGTTATCAGGTGCAAAGCCTGGAGGACATTCGGCGTCTGGATGAGTACGAACGTCACGCCAAGTGTCTGGACCCCCAGCGTTGGAGCAAGGCTCGCCAGTTGTGCATTTGCAGGGGCGCCTAGACTACGGGTTTTTGCGGCCGCCTTTTTTAATAAGAAAATTACTCTCGCCCCGAACTTGCTGACAACAAAAGACGCTCCAGAGCCAAGAAGAAAAATTTTGAACATGAGCGGATCGTCAGTGTTGACCGCCTCCTCTACTGATATAACTGTTTTTTATAAAGGAACGTGAACTTTTTTTAATGGCAATCATCTGACCCCTGTACTGGAAGAAGATGAGGTAGCCTCTTATGAAATTGTATGCTAGTCTCCTTCTCCTAGCTGGTTTCGTTCGCTTAGCTTCAACCCGAAGCGACGGTTTGAGCTTTAGGGCAAAATTTC